TTCTGTCAATAGTGAAGGCCACAACAACTGTCAGAAACATTTAATTCTCAACTCTGCAGTTCAAAAAATTGCAGTCAGATGAATGAGTATGCTTTGCCCTAGATCAATGGGAATGACTACCTACACCCATAGCAGAACTGCTTGGTGGTAAAGGTTTTGGAAAGCTAGCACTGACCTGTGGGAGTAATTACAGGGTTAGAGTAGTAAACTCAACACATGAAGGAGTTTGTCCTGTCTGTACAAATACTTGTCACTAGTCTTTATTAAATAAGGCCAGCATCAATTTTAATGTAATCAGTCATTAAATATTTTTCAGTTTTACCTCTTAAATTAGCTTGCCTTACTGTAAGCTTGTCTTACAGTTGGGAGATAAACTTTGGAACAGGAGGAAAGGGTTAGTGTTTTTGCCAGAGAGAGCAGGCAGTATTGCAGCAACAAGGACTAAGACTCTTGAAATTGCTGACAAGGACAGAGCAGTACTTGATGCCAGCAGTAGCCAAATCCTCATATGGCATGTACACTGAAATTCAGCTACGAGAAAGGATGGAAATGAAAGGTTTCATTTCCTTCTCTCTTGTGCTTCTCATCCCAAGCTTCTCTTTGTTTTCTTTACTTGATCAGCCACATCTAGGCTAAATGTCTGACAGCAGTCCTATTTCCCTCAGGTGGAGCGGTAAGTAGAACACAACAAAAAGACTGATTACATCACATAGTCAGTAGAGACAGGTCTATGCTAGCTAAAGGAAGGTGGGTTAAATCCAGTTTTCAGCCTTTATGTTAATACACTTAAGCCTTGGAGTCCACCAATTTTTCTTTCAACTTTCCTCTGGGACAGCAAATTGACATGTAACATCTCCATTTACCTGCCTGTTTGCTAGTATCTCCCTCCCCAGATACATATTCTAGCTTTGATGGGCTAAACCAACACAGAGTTAAAATCTATGCACCTATACTTTTATATCCAATAGGTATAAAATATTACTTCAAATTCCATGAAACAATTAAAAACTAAAACTGAAATATAGAACTGAAACCATTTTGTTCATTATCTCAAATGTGTAAAAGCAAGAGTTTAAAACTTCAGTGCCAAAACCTAAGTCTTACTACTGTACAAAATACATGAAAAAATAATTTATCAACCTGTTATGAAATTCTGTGGTAACCTGTTTCCAAGTTCAGAGCATTTTCTTGAAGGAGCTGTAAAATCTAAGGTATTTTTCATAAGCTGGTGTTGTATCTCAGGAATCTGGAGTTTTTGAGCTTTCTGTGCTTCCAGGCACAGGCCCCCTGGAAAACACTGCTCTGGACCTGAAACGTTGGAGAAGGCTTGTAAATATAAATAATGAGTTAGAAATCACAAATGTGTAGTGGGTTAGATGTGTGTATTTTCACTGGATGATGGTTTTAAATTTGAGGGTTTTATAGTATAGTGGTGGATATGGGACAAGATGGAGAATTTTAGGTGGTGTCTTTTTCTTTGTTCATCTTCTTCCTTCTTCACAGAACTTAGGTAGTAACCTTTGGTTGGTCAGTCAATTGTCACTCTAAGGGTCGTGGGAATCTATTATTGGGTCAAAAAGATAAATCATATAGGTGTTAAATTTCTATTGGTTTGTTTAGCTTTTTAAGGCCTTGAAGCAGACTCAGCTGTAACCATTTTTCCCACTTCTAGCAAGGAGCTAGAGGTGCTGTCGTACTTTCTGTAATTCTTTGATAAGATATAATAAACACCCAAGTCCAAACACGAGAACCGTCTCAATTGCCTTTCTAATAATGCTGGCTCAGAGGAAAAACAGACGAGACTGATGACAAACCACTAATAAGTGGTGAAAAGCCCAGCATACACCCCACAATCTGGATTGGTTTATTTTTATGCATTCAGGTAGGATAGTCAATTTAACACATTCAGTCTAAAGGACTAGCTTGCCCATGGTAAAATTTCTTCATTCTAAAATGCAGTATTCAACACTGTAGAGCATTTGGACATGGTTTACTTTCCAGTAAAATGAAACAGAAATCACCAAGTCTGAACCTCTCTCTCCATAAAGTTCTGCATTAGATTTTAATAATACACATCCTTTCCCCTGGGTTTCACTGATATAACTGCAGAGAAAAATGAATTTAATATGTAGATTTTGTAAGGAATACAGTAATAGCTTTTTTAACTAAGTGTATTCTCATCCCTCCTCAGAACTTGGGCAGATGCATCCAATTAATGATGAATCATTCCACATAACTTTCCTGTTGAGAACATACTGGTAATATCAGCACAACAACCTACAGAGCTCAAAATGGTCACAGATACCATCATTTTTGGTCACCTGAAAAAGTGTAGGGTGGGAGTTTCCCAAGAAAGAAACTGTTCATTCCAGATTCCTAGATGAACTATCATTATGCTGCTTCAAAGGAACAATACTAACATATGCAGACAGAGAGGTGTATGTTACACATCGGATACGATATACAGCCAGAGATCACCATTAGAAATAACAAAATTTATTTACTGTGATCCTAAGGACTATTCAGCATATTTGCAGTAAAATTATGTGTGAAGGGAATTGTGGATTTTTGATTGCTAAGCACCAGGGCATTTAAAAACAGCTGTTCTTTTGTACCATTTTACTGACTGAAAGCTGGGCCAAAGTTCTTCAGAAGGTGCTGAAAAGAGTAAGAATGAATGAATGAGAAAAGAGTGAATGAGACCTGGTTCTGCTTATCCACACCATAGCTTCAAAAAACTGAAGAAAAGTGCCTCCCAGTGTCAAAGGAAAATAAAGTCAGCAGTCGTATGACTGCATCATCAACTGAAAGTTTTGGTCAAGTTCCACTTTCTACAGTAGAGCCCATTCTCATTCTACCTACTTTGTTGATTAATTTCTGCCTTTCCTGAGTAAGTTTTTCCCTTTTAGGAATTGTCACGTTTTCTGCAGCAGCCTATTGCCCATATACTGCTGGAGCAAGCTATAATGTCCTAGTTTCTAATCCTTCGTAGGGAGGCCCATTGAGCTCCAAACTCTCAAAGCCCATGGACATTTCAACAGTGCTTCTTTTATTCCTCAAATGCTCTCCTCTAGAAGCCCTATAATTGAAAAGACTGACCCCTCAAGAAGGAAACTGATCACACGTAACCCTCTCTTTCATTTTTTATATAATGACTGATAGAAGGGAACACCTTTTTTGTACATTCTGATATGAACTCTATATTTCAGTGATCATATTTGAAGTTTGGTTGCTATTAAAAAAAAAAAAAAGCAGTCTGGAAACATTTTAGGTACCATAAGCATAAAAAAGATTTACCATAAAAGGTAAGAAAATCCAATACGCACTAAATGTTATATTTTATTTCAAAGCAACTTATGTGCTTATGAACTTTTTTTTAAAATAGGTTGATATTAGTTCAATTTTCCTCATCTTGAAAATTACTGACCTATCCTCTGAATAGCCTAGTATAAACTTCCACAGCATGTAGCCATCCTGTAAATACTGCACTGAAGTTATTTCAATTGCCCTAAATTTTCATCACTTTTCATGTATTTTGACTTCTGCTTTCAGAGCTGGAATGCAGTGACAGGAATCACATAACCAGTTTTGAAGGTATTTAAGAGTACAGTCCTGTCTGATTTGTGAGAATGGAAAAAATCTACAAGGAACAAAAACTGTTTTCTTGAGCCTTATTCCTAATCTCAGTGGGAAATTTTCTGTACAAGCTCATTGTTCTTGGTCATGCACGATAAAGCATATACCTAAATGAAACGCTCTCCAGTACAGGGGGAAAGTTATTTTTCATTCGGTCTGGCTCACGAATGGTTAAGATTTTAAGCCTTTTAACCCTCAACAAAGAAATCGGTTTGAATTTTATTAAAAGGTTCTTCTCACTGGCCATTTTGAATGCTGAGGTTTTAAAAAACACATGCAGAAACATTCTACAGTGCATAATAAATAAATTGAACATAATAAGGGTAACTAGGTCTTTCAGAAGTTTGTACGGGCTCCAGAAGATGAGCAGTTATCTTCCTTAAGCTCAGCAGAGAAGCATGAGATGAACTTCAGGTTGCAATTAACTAGGCAGACATGTCAAAAGAACATCTCCCATTCTAACATTATTTAATGCCAGGATGGACAAGGTATTTTAATAGCAAAGAGGAAGATCCTGTAATGGACAAAAGCCTCAAATCTAAAGTGATCTGGAAGCACTAATTATTTTAAGTGATGACAGTTCTAGAGGTCTACAAATGCCAGAATGCAGCTTCTATTTTAAAGCACAATAAAGTCTATTGTAACTGAGATGAACAAAATTCCATTGATTCTTTAGAGAATAAACTTAAGAAAACTCTTAGAAAAAGAAGTAGAAGCTTTCTACTACCTCTAGTGATAAACTTATTAGTTCTCACTCTATACAAAGGAAATGGAACAGTATTAAGGTGAATGAATTTAGGTGTAGATTGAAACATGAAGATTATGCCACCAGGGAGTGAAGGATTATCATCACTTACCTCCCTCATCCAGAAGCTTCCCACTCAGGGGCTGGGATGTATCTGAAGAGTAACATGTAATGGAAATTTGTAGCATTAAATTAACTGCAGCTGATTGGAAGCACCTGATGGAGAAGAGGTGAAAATACCTGCTGTTTTAGAAGTGAGAATAGGATAATCCCCAAATCTGACTTTCTGGTCTTCTGGCCTGAAATTAACTACTAAGGTTAAAATTTGTCCGAAGACTGGAAAAATACTAATAATCAGTTACAATAAGCTACTGGAGAGTAGTTTAGACCAATAAAATAAGAATAGGCTCAACTTACGTTTTTTAACTGCAAGCATGGGCTCATGACAGCAGTAGTCAAATATCCAGGCAATACTCTTAGCATCAAAAGGAGACACAGATTTTCATTGACCCGTACAGTGACACAGCCAAAAAACCCAAAACAAAACAAAGCACACCTATCAACTCCTCAACAGACTAGTTAAATATGTAAGTCAAAGCTACAGAAAACAAATTCTTACCTAGTAAGTGTGTACTCCCTGAGTCCTGAATGCAGGTTCATGGCGGAAAAAGTACCTATGCATCCACGCAATCGTTTATCCCGACCGATCTTCCACGTTACAAACAGTGGGCTGTGTTAGGGAGGAAAAGACAGACATGATCATAGGAGCAATTTTGATGGTGTGAAATTTCAGCAACAGGGCCCTTCCATTTCAGCAACAACGGGCAAATCTCTAAAATAACTCTATCTGAACAGGCCATAGCAGTGAGAAATGTCCTTTGCAATTCCTTTCGCTGTTCTAGAAACACTGTTCATGTGCTATAATAGAAAATAAGATTACTGGAATAGTTTAGGGACAGAATGAAAATGCTTGGTAACAGATCCGATGTGCTCAGTGCACCCTACTGTTACCCATTAACCTTCTCCTGTAAATGGGAAACGTCTCACCTTGGAGATCTGTATATAAGGAACCTTTGTGGAGGGGAAAAATATCCCTGCCACACTAGCCACCCCCTCCTGAACACAAATACTTTGGTCGCTAATACTGCTGGCTAAATACAGAAATCCTTGGAAGACAAAAAAATTTAGGAATGCCCTCTAAACTTAAAGAGCTACCAGAGGAAAGGATATTTTCTTCATAAATCCCAAGTCAGCATTTAAAAATATCAAAAATGACCAGAAGTAGAGCAAAATCTCTAAGTTGAACACACGACCATGATAGTTACAAAGAAATATTAATAACAAACCAATTCATACACTAAATTAATCAGAAAGAGGAGAACCATACAGCTCTTGGGGACCAAACCTTTTATTGCAGTCCTAGTGAATTGCATTAATACATAAGCAAGAGAAAACTATACTAACTTTAATTTCTCAAGGGAGTGCACATGGCATCTGGATACCAATTCTAACAAAGATTTCTAATACTGAGACGAACAGAGATGTTTCGAGAAGAAACACATGTAATATTTACTCTTTTTCTAGAAAGGTGACAAATCGAAGTGTATTACATAGAGAAGGGTGCATTGTATTACATGAGCAGATCAGTCACTGCACAACTGCACAGTGTAGCAGAGAGAGGTGTAACTGTACTGGGGGTACCATACGTGGGTATGGGCGCACTTTGGGACTCATATCTCTTTTCTCCTTCCATACCATTCACTTTATCTAGTGTGGCACAAGATACCTGTCCTGTGATGGCAGAAGAGGATATGCCTCAGTCTGCAGCACTAACACAGCAGCATTCAGTCATCTCCTAACTTGCTAAAACCTGTTATCTATCACCTGCTGGTACAGCAACTTCCTCCTTCCTTGATTGAGCTGGACAAGTTCCCCTCTTTCAATGATGATCAATAAAAGAGGAAGCTGAAGTCATAGTTTTCTTTTGTATTTCCTTTTATTTCTTTTTAACTGCCATCCTGCATCCTTTTTTAAAAGTTTAGTAAGTACTGAAAAGCACAAAGCCAGAAGGACCCATTACCAAACATTTAATAAAATGTGGGCTATTGCACTATTTTCCATTCAGATCAACAAGTGGCATTTTACTACATTTTCAAGAAAGATATCTCAGTCACCCTTAATGGTACCAACGAAATTATTAGATTGCAATGGCTCTGAAATCAGTCTCTCCCCTTGAACAGAAATAAGCATGAGTAGGACTCAAAATGGACTTTAGGATTCTCTTGACCTTTATCTTTGGATTATGAGATTCATTAGCTGTAATAGTGGAGGGCTGTAATTCCGGGAAGCATATACATATTTACTTTCCTGTCAAAACTTAAATCCTTCTAAGATGCATCATTACTGCTACTTTAAAAGGACAAGAGAGGACCAGAGAACTTTGCTGAATGTCAAATAATACTGAAACATTTGCATACACATTGAAGGTCCTTGTCAATGAGTACCATGACAAAATGTAAAAGTTACATATATATATATATATATATTTGGACTACTGGTAGTAGGAGTATGAACATACTGTTCAGTCTGAGTTGAGTAAATGAACCATCACTGGTAGCCATTATTAATATACAACACGTAGTCTGACTTAAGCTGTTTTTGTGATCTTTCAACTTCTGCATTGCTCCCCAGGAGCATGAAGTATGAGGATGTCTACACAGGAAATCTAAGCCTAGTGAACAGAATTACTCAATTACCCTCACAGATGTCTTCAAAGTGTAATATGGACCACAGGTTCAGAACACTCACAGACCCAAGAGGATTCTAACTCTTAAAATTCAAGAAATAAGGCTGAAAGAGACCTTCAGGACTCCTGCTAGTGTAAGGAATAACTATATAATTCTGTTCATAAATGATCCACGTTCTTCCATCAGAAGTAGAAATAATGGATACAAAATCCCCAAAATGAAAAATTTGAATGTCATCTCAAAACCTTGTTGAAGTTCAGAACCTCTGGAAACATTCCAACTTCCTGCCAAAATGTTTTCCCAGCCAGCTTCTACCTAGTTCTCCTTGTGTAAACATTGTCCTTTTGTTTAAATAGTTCTTTCCCTTCCTGGTTATTATTCCCCAAAGTATTTATAGAAATAATTCATATGCCTCTTCAGACTTCACTTTGCTGAGTGGGATGTGCTCATTCAGTTTTCTCTCTCAGGGGACCTTTCCATTCTGACCATGACATCTCTTCTCTACAGTTTTTTTCCAGTTTAAGTTTGCCTTCTTGAACATCCATGTTTAGAACAACAGAAAGAATTACAGAGGAGGGTCTTGCACCTGGATGGAATGGATGCGTCTATCTCTGAACTAGGAACACTGATTGCTACTTTTAGTACTGACTCTTACAGCCTAATATGAAATCTCCAGAGAGCATGTCTAGTCTTACACGAAACAAAAACCATAGAAAACCTGCTCACAGAAGCTAGACAAGTTATGGAGAGAAAAGAGTATTTTTCTTTCTAGTGGTGTTATTTTGCTTTTTATTGGCATCCTTGGCTTCAGCTGCCAGCCTATCTTCCTCAAGCGTGCAATTCTTTTCTTCTGTTCTAAAATAAACTTGCTGACATAACCGAAAATGTAAAGCTAAAGTTCCAAACTTCACAGATAGTGATGTCAAAAGTAGCTAAGTAAATTGGTTCATTTTCAACTTGAAAAAAAATTCACCTGTTACCTGTTTTTCTTAAAATAAAAACAAACTTTTTTTGAGCAACACTTTGTTAGACCTAAAAATCTTTAGTAATATGCAGGAAAGACAGCAGATGCTTGGATTCTTTGTTATCCAATGATGTATTGCTGTAACTCACTAGATGTATTGAAAATGGTAGATTCCGTGACCCCTGTAGTGTCCTGTGCTCTGGTCCCTCTCCCCTCTGGCCCTGCTTAGTTGGCCGAGATCCAATTTCTTCCTGCCCCCCTTACAGACCCTAGAAAACACCTATGCCCCCTGACCTCACCCTATTTTTGCTCCTGGAGGCCCACAAGAAATAAACCTCAGATTCTCCCCAGGGGGGAAAGAGCCTCTTGTTATCTCTTATTCACATCCATGTAGTGGATCCCAGAGGCCTCTTCCTAACATCTGAGCAAGTCGGGAATTAGGGTGAATTCTCAGGGAACTCTACAGTGTACAGCAAGGATATGCATGGCATCCTGGAGATCAGTCTTCTTTTCACCTTAAGAAAGCCTGAAGTCACAAATCCCACAAAAATCAAAGAGCATACTGGGTGGAGTGCTCTCACCTTTCTGTCTGGTTCCGTCTTGATGTAGTCAGAAAACTGCAGATGTTGTTTGTTAGTTTTAAAAGAAACATTCACAAAACCAGACTTTCACTTCCCTGTGAGGAGCTCTAAAGCTCTAAAGCTTCAAACAGTTCTCTTACACAGTTTAGGATGAAGCATAAAAGCAAAAGAGCTTCAGGCTTGGGAGTGAGCTATCCTGAACCACCGGACTTGGAAATTTATTTGTTCAGCTTCTCTTTGTGGTGTCAGAAACCTCTAACCTATGCTGCTGACAGTGTTAACAGGAGTTTTGCAAAGCATCACCAAGTATTAGTAGCTGAAAGATGGTGGAAGACGTTTCAAACCATAAAGGAACAGAAGAAGAAACCAAATCCAGACCCTATGAAGCCCCTGTAAAGATGACAATCCTTCTTCTCTCATAAGGATCTACATTTTGATTTGTTTGAGAGCCAGACACTGAAAAAGTATTTCTATCAAAAACTATTTATAGTTGCCACAGCAAACTTACAAGCAACCTGAAGACTATAAACTCACCATCCAGACATTGCATAACTTGCTATTTATCAAGAAGTGTTGCCCAGCTCTAATCTAAATAACAGGAACTGTTTCAGATATTTGCTATACAGGTTGCCAGGCACTACTCCATGAAAATCAGCTGACCATATATAGTTTTTTCCTTTCAGTTGCAAAACTGAATTAAAGAGACCGCTGCAACACAGTGAGTTTAAACTGATATTACTTCCTTATATACAACTGCAGTCATCAAAAGGGGCATACATACACAGTCTCTCTGTTTCCTTGTCAGATTCTAAAATACATCCAACACCCCGAACACTGACCTTAAAGATAAGCCAGAAAATGTGTGGCTGAAGCCCAGGTGCTTGAGTCACCTGATCAGTGCTGCCCATGTCACACTCCAGCTACTACTATACACTTCTCATTAATGAAAATACTAGGATAGCCCTGTTCTTCACTTGAGCATTAATCTATCACAGCTCCTGGAGAACTGCTACAATCCCTATTCAAGCCACAATGTATAAACCTATCTAAACACCGAAAGCAAGTATCAGAATAGTCTCTGATACATCAAGCTTAAAAAGTGAGCTTAGCGCATTGGTAATGTTTCACAGCCAAAATCGCCTAAACCAATTATTCACCTGCTGCTATACATTACTGAAAATATTTTGACTGAAAGCATAAGTCTGCAAGCTATTTCAGCAATCAGCTACCACAGTTAAGAGTCATCATGCCAATAATTTACACTGACATCATGCAGAATGCACTGTTAAAAATATCTTCTTTTAATATACTGCAGCACTGGATACAAGCTGCTTCACCAAAAAAGTGAAGGGATTCTTTAAGTTTGGGTGTGAGATAAAGCAAGAACCATGAATAAATTGGTCCTGTCCTGGTATGACCAATAGGAAAGGTTTCTCTT